CGCTCTGCACCCCCGGGGTGGACGTCTACTGGAGAGGAGAGGACAAGAAGTTCGCCGTGGTCTGGATCGCCGTCTGGTCCGTCCTCTGCTTCTTCTCCAGCGCCTTCACCGTCCTCACCTTCCTGATCCACCCCCAGCGCTTCAAGTGAGAGGCCCAGTAGAGAAGAGCGCTTCTTGCGCGCCGCTCTGCACCCCCGGGGTGGACGTCTACTGGAGCCGAGAGGACAAGAAGTTCGCCGTGGTCTGGATCGCCGTCTGGTCCGTCCTCTGCTTCTTCTCCAGCGCCTTCACCGTCCTCACCTTCCTGATCCACCCCCAGCGCTTCAAGTACCCTGAGAGGCCCATCATCTTCTTGTCCATGTGCTACTGCGTCTACTCGGTGGGCTACATCATCCGCCTCTTCTCCGGGGCCGAGAGCATCGCCTGCGACCGAGACAGCGGCCAACTCTACGTCATCCAGGAAGGTCTGGAGAGCACCGGTTGCACCTTGGTCTTCCTCGTCCTCTATTACTTCGGCATGGCCAGCTCCTTGTGGTGGGTCATCTTGACGTTGACGTGGTTCCTTGCCGCCGGGAAGAAGTGGGGCCACGAGGCCATCGAAGCCAACAGCAGCTACTTCCACCTGGCGGCGTGGGCCATCCCGGCGGTGAAGACCATCATGATCCTGGTGATGCGGAGGGTGGCCGGGGACGAGCTGACGGGCTTGTGCTACGTGGGGAGCATGGACGTGAACGCTCTGACCGGGTTCGTCCTGGTCCCCTTGGCTTGCTATCTCATCATCGGCACATCCTTCATCCTCTCCGGCTTCGTGGCCCTCTTCCACATCCGTCGGGTGATGAAGACGGGCGGGGAGAACACCGACAAGCTGGAGAAGCTCATGGTGAGGATCGGGGTCTTCTCGGTGCTGTACACGGTGCCCGCCACTTGCGTGATCGCCTGCTACTTCTACGAGCGCCTGAACATGGAGTACTGGAAGCTGTTGGCCATGCAGCGGAAGTGCAAGGCAGACGGCCACCAGGGCAAACACGTGGACTGCACCATGAGCGACTCCATCCCGGCCGTGGAGATCTTCATGGTCAAAGTCTTCATGCTGCTGGTGGTTGGGATCACCAGTGGGATGTGGATCTGGACGTCGAAAACCCTCCAGTCCTGGCAGAGCGTCTGCAGCCGGAGACTTAAGAAGAGGACTAGGAGGAAGCCGGCCAGTGTGATAGCCGGTGGCGGGTTGTACAAAAAAGCACAACATCTGCCTAAGGGTCACCCGGCCAAGTACGAGCCTACTGCGCAACCTCCTACTTGTGTGTGACTGATATGTATGGATCATTAGGTGATTTTTTTAAAAAAAGGAAATACACACACACACACACAATGGTGTAACCCACCTAAGGAGGCTCACGGGGTTCCGGAGTTGTGCTTGGGACTAATGGTGGTAGCTAATAAAATTGTGGGTTTTCTTTAACAACGTTGTTGTGTCAGAGAAGGGGGGAAAAAACTGAAAGTGAAAATTCAAACGCTGGATTCAGGATCTGGAGGAAATAAACAGAAAGGTTGGGCGTACCTAGAGGGGGGGAAAAGTTTTTCGAGCACAGAAATGCCGGTCCTAACTACTTCCGCCGTCAACTTTATTTCGACTAATTTGTTTTAAAAGAACGGAGGGTTTCTGCCCCCCCTCCGGTCCTCACTAGGCTTAAAAACCGGGTGTAATTATTTGTGTACATACTAAAAATTTGGTCTGCCTTTAGATTCCTTAACGAGGTAGAGGTAGGATTTATAGAGTGATGATTTAAAAAAAAAACAAGGAAGGGAGACTTGAAAGAGGTTGGTGTCCTTTTCGTTTATTTGAAGACAAGAAAGCCTTAAGTTCAAACGACACCCCGGCTTTGAAAACAACTTCTGTTCTAACTTAAAGAGATCCTTTCACCAAACGGCGCAGGATCCCTGAGAAAAAAAAACAGGTTCAATCCGAAAGGCTCGCCCCTTGCTTAAAAAAAATAATCGTAAGAGGAGAATGTAGCCTTCTGCCTTCCCAGTGGGTGCAAAAAAAATATAAAATAACGTGCAATACAATTTCTCTCCCCCCTCTCTCGTCAGCAGCCGCATCCTTACAAGGACATAAAATGAGAAACAAGTATATATATATATATTTGTGATACATAAAAGACACAAAAAGGATTGTGCCACAAAAGAACCGAGAGAGGTCTTTCTCGCGTTTATGTTTTGCGGCTTTTTAATGGAAATCAGACAAGTTTTGGGCTGATTTGTAGAAAGGGGGAGAGGGACCCATTGAAGAAAAGAGTGAAAGCAGCTTATTGACTCTTTCCATTGTTAAACAAATGCTGAGGCTGAATAGATCAAGAAGCGCTCAGTTTTATTTTTATTCCGGACCCCCCTTTTTTTTTACTCCTTCCTCGGAAAGGAAAAGGGGGTTCACGACTACGAAGGGAAGGCACAAATGTACACGTGTGGGTGTGGGCGCGAGAGAGTGCGTGGTATCTGTATGTGTGTATATATAAA